ATTTTGCCATTTATCAAAACAAATCTCTGCACTATATTTATCACACATGGGACAAGACTATCTTTACAAAGCCATAATTTCGCCTATACAGCACCATAAACACGTTGATCATCGTTCACTCTCACTAAACAGCTCTCACAATCTAATGACTTTTTACTCGGTAAGTATTCATATGTGTACATGAACTGCAGCAAACAAAGCATATGCCATACGAATATAGTTGAGACCGTATAATCACTAGTTCGATAACGGCTATTGAGAAAAAATAAAGGTCAGCGTACTAAGTTTCAAGCTTTATTAAGGTCAGCAAGCGTGCCCGTTGCGTTGATAACACATTTATTAACCCGTATGTTGTTTGTACACACAAAAAAGAATGTTCGATAACAGATCGGTAGAATTTATGTTCGAGTACGATTTGCATGTGAACAAGCCGTTTGGTCTCAGTAAAACCTCATTATCGGGCACGGGAAACATAAGTCATAGCTTCTTTTAAATAATAATTACTTTTTTAACTCGTGGTTTTATGTGTGTATTACGCAGTGTCTTACATGGTTGGATATGAAGACAATTTGAAACTATGTAATAAACACTTGTGTTTACCATATAACAATGTTATGTAGACTGCATCGTGTATACATATTTTTGTACAGTACAAATAATTAGCAAAAACAAATTTGTTGGCCGTCTTCCTTTTTTCAAGTGTTCTTAAATTACATTTGCACAGAAGGGTTAATGCAAAAGACGGACCAATGCCACTGCAACGGATTTCTGTAATATTAAACACAAGGGGAGTGTTCCTTTATTAACCTTCCCGTTCTCTTTTTTTTAATTTGTATTATTAACTGTATAACAACATCAATTGTGTTATTTTCACAGCATATCATTTTGTCATCATTATTCAATTGACAGCGTTATTTTTAAGACTAAATATTTCGTTATCGCAACGTTCCCGTGCTATTGAAACTATTTGCATATGATACCGCAGTAACACTATGACATTATTAACAACATTTTTTTGTTTAAATGCATTTCGTTAGTCAATTTTTTTCACAATACTCCCATTTTGAAAGCTATACGAGAACGCGTTAGTTTAGTGGTGTACCAACAGTGTTATTAATTATTCTGATTATTAGCCAGAAAAATGTGTGTTTTTTTTTGTACATGGCAATTTTCCCGGTTAAAGTGGCGACAACGACCGCCAAATAGCAATGAAAATAAAAAATAGAAAGGCCATGAACCGGTCAAAACCAAAATGCCGATATTCAAGAGCATATGGTCATGGCTGTTCAATTGTTCGTTATCCATTAAAAAATAATAGTTGTCGATAGCACTATGTGTAGGTAATAAGTGAATACGTGCACAGCGTAACACATGCGACCGAGGTTAAAAAGGTAATATTATTTTAACTAATTTCAAAATTATCATTTACAGACGGCCTTCGAACTTGCAGAATTACGAGTTTTCGCACTTCTCTTTCGCTGTAATGTCGGACTGACATCAGTTAGGCACCGATCATTAACCACGGTAAAGAAAGCTGAACTGTTTTTCTTTGTTCGTTTGTGTAACGAGAAGTAAGTCGGAAGTAAAAAAACAAGTTAGAGTTTGTCACGGTCTACTCTCACATCGAAGATCTGACACTATGTTCAGACTGACTGTATTTATAGCGCTGCACCCCACAGATTAATGGTAGTTTTTTGTCGTAGTGTTGCCACAAAACAGATTATTCCTTAGTTCACGAACCAAACAAGGTTTATTTTTATATATACTATCGTCTCGGCGGACCCCATTCGGAGAACCCGTGTTGGGTAAGGACCAAGGAAACGTACATTGTGCAGAGCGCCTTTTTATTGCTGTTTTATTATTGCCATTGTCCACCCCTGAGTAGCGGCCATAAACATTTTTCGCCTTCCTAGTGTTGGTTTTTCCTATTCAAGTGCAATGTATTCATAAATAAATACAGAGCCTCCTACAGTCTAAAACGTATTGCTCGCGTGACTTTCAACTGTCTCTGCACGACGACTTGTCTAGTAATCTCGCAAAATAAACTCCAACTAAATCGTTCACCATATCACAATGTCTGCAGTAGCGTTCGCTTGGAGATAGTTGAACTTTCTCGCGTTCGTTCGATAATTCCAATAAGTGAGTGTACAGAGATTCATTACTATCGCAGACGGTAAAGGGTGTTCTTGTACGTCTCCCGTCCTACTACTTTTACCACTGCGACTACGGTCACTTTGGTCGGCTTTAGCCGTGTTTAGTTTGGTTTTTGTTATTTTTAAACGGATTCAGACGTCGCGACTTGGCACGTGATGACCTGCGAATAGCTCTTTACGAGCCCAAAGAAGCTGCTGCACACATGTTTTGGGGGGCTGACATTGTTTGGCCTTTGTATAAATAACTCGAGACGCTATATATTGTCGCGTCGAATGTGTCAGACCGCGCGAGTTAGACGCGCACTCTAAGCAGTTGCACTACAAACACAGTGCAGTCCAAAAGCGATCGTTTGGCTTGTTGCCTCCTCGTCTGATCGATCGCACAACTAATGATTATCGTCGTGTCAGACGTTTTCACGGCGCTGTTTCAATTTTTCATTGTTAGCAAAAAATATCCTTGGGAGTCGACCGACTGTGATTGGATAGTTTTCGGACAGCGTCAAGTGCTGTTGATGCAATCACAAGTGCGAGCGAAAACCTCGGATTTATATTTTTCGTCACACAATGCCAAACCACTTGTAGATTTAAAAAACATTAGTAATTGCCGCCACAGTTAAAAAAACTCTCAATTGCCGATTTCGCCGCTATTTATGAGCTTTATGAAAGCGACAATGGGATTTTGTGCGTGCCCGTCGCATTACCGTGAGAAAGGGATAGCCGAATTTATGTAATTGTTGTCATGTGAAACGATTTACGACGGGCGGCGCGTGGTGGGAGGAGGACCCAGTGGCGGGCAACGGTTCATTCAAGGAAACCGTACGACTGCATCTGAGCGCGACCGTACAAGTAGACTGCGGTAATGACGGTGATAATAATAATGCTGCACCAGGGCGTGTGTGCACAGCGGTCGAGTGAAAGTGCTACGAAAACGCATGTGTGTGTACACCAAATATGTAACGCGACGATAATATTGTCTTTCTCGGGACCTTCGGTGCACCGATTTCGGCGTCTCTCAAACATAATTTCTTTTCACGCGTTTCAAAATTACCCTGCCGGCCGTCAAGGTTAACGCAATCGTGCACGCGTTTTATATTTGAACCCACGTCGCATGTGTCGTTTCGAAACATCCAAACGCATCCCAAAAAACTTTCTCCCGAAAACCGCCACAAATAGACGCACTCGACGACTTGCCGTCGTAACTCGGAGCCAAAGGGTTTTTGGCTCGTACGAAAACGTGACCGCGTGTCTTAACGTTATTGTATCAACGCGTTTTTGGTCACAGAAGGTAAAACGCGTTTACAAAATGATTACCGTGTGTATCAGCGCTGAAGTGACTACAATGTAGTCTCACTTCATCTCACACGTGCCAACTGACATATTGAACAAATCTGTGCCCTTCCTTCGGTGTAGGTCAACGCCAATAGCTATGAAATAACGCCGCATATATTAGATTTGTTAACAAAAAAAAGCTGTCAAAAGTTTTATGGATCTCTGCAACGATATTTCTTAACCATAGTAGTTTACCCAAGTAACCTTCTGTACTTTGTTTTCGTTTTATCGAATATTTAACAGTATCCATAAATAATTTCTTTACAAGAAAAAAATCATGCTGAACAAATATTCATTTAAACACATTAAGATTCAGCGCAAAATTTACAATGTATTATATTTTTCAATCTACTCTTCCAAATACTATTTTTCATTGCTTATTTTCAGATTATTCGGTAAAGTTCATTATTTATTCAATAATGTTTTATTTGTAGTTAATATTCTAAAATAGATTTTACATTTATGGAATAGAATTTTAAAATAATTCATCGACTGTCGATGTGGGTTATTCTATGAAAACTTTTTGATACTTTTTTTTATAATATTTTCGAGTCAAGGCTGGTAACACAACACGGTTATTGATTAAAAATGATCGATAACCGTACAAGATAAAAAATGTGTGACATATGTCTAAATTATTTCAAAGACAAATAAATTGCTAATGATTGCTTTTTTCTTATCGGATTACTAGGTCGTACACGAAAGAATCGTCAGTCGAGTTAGTTCAAGAAATCGAAATAACTACAGCTCAATAGAAAAACGGAAGAATATTTTTTTTAACTAAACACTAGTCTATTGAAAATTTCCATAGAGTTAATTGAATAACATTAAGAACAAAAATATGTTTGATTTATTTCAGAATTAAATAACAACTTGGTGTTTATTCGTGAGCAATAAAATATCAATACATAGAAAATAATTCATAAAATAGGAACACAATAAACAATTACATACCGACTGGTGAATTATCGAGTTAAAAAAGTATTGTATAGAGCAAATAAAAAAATGTTTTTATTTATAAGTCTGCAGGTGCCTATGATTTACTAAATTCTATTAAAAATATCGATCGTAACATAATTCTCGAGCTCGAACATTTTTTTAACTAAACCTATGAGATAACGCTTGTTTAAAAATACTAAACAAATAGAGTACGAATTCAACAATAACGAACTGTTAATAGATTAAAAAATTATAATTAACACAAAATGTAGTTTTTTCTTTCACTTTTATTCAGTGAGGTTCAATGGCTCTAAAAATATATAACAATAACCTAGTCTTAAAAAGCGTTTAGTACATATTTTAAGCCGTGTACATAACAAATATAAATTTTAAGTAAACCAATAGGCGTGAAACTTTGTTGTGCTATGAAAGCTTAATAATCAATAGCGCTAAGTAATAGATCTCACTAAAAGAGTTAATAAATTCAGTAAAGCTGATGTTTTTGAAGTTTAACCACTATAAAGTCATTAAAATCAGACCAACGGATAAATAAAACAATAGACCTTAAAAAATTCATACCTTGAACCATTTTATAGATTTGCATAATATTCATCACACTTTAAAATCCAATTACGTCTATCATTTATTTTTACTTAATCTTTTGAACTTGTTTTTTCAATGCTATGCGAACAATCATTAATTGACATTTGACACTACGATGCACATAAGTCCATAATCTCACTAGCAACAACAACACATCGTAGTAAGAATAATATATATAGTAATTTATTTTAATTAACTGATTATCATTTTTGTCTTAGCGAACAATCCTAAAGTTAACATACTCAGTCGTACAAAAATTACATTATCACCACGTCAAGCCCAACTGAAAAAAAATCTGAATTTCAGTATCTAATACGGCCAGGTTTCTCTTATCGTTATCTTAGTTGTAATTTTATTCAACACAATAGTTGAGCTGTTCACTGCCGAAACGCATTGAAAAGTATTTAATATAACAATACTCATTATGAAGATCATTATTACTATAAGTAATACAATGTTTACACTATTTACTACATTGCCGTGAGGACAGTATTGAGTTGGCGAGAACGCGCATAGAGAGGTGTGTTGAACACGACACGCGAACGGCATAAGGTGTGCTGTCACAGAAGTTTAAGAGCGCCGGAGGGAGGGGCGATGAAGGGCTACAGTTCTGACTGCCAAGTTCACTGCTGTGGTACATTATGCCGTTTGTGTTTGTATTACATTAATAACAAAATATGTTCCATGTTGATGTGTGTCGGTGTTTGGAGGAATTAAAACTCTAATAATAATATAATGCGTATGAACGGCAGCGCAACGATACGCAACCGAGACGTGGAACCGAGAGAGCTCACCGACGATGACAGGAAGGGAGGGGACGACGTTATAATAACTCGACGTGCGTGGGACCCCATAAGTTGGCTCTAGTGGTGTGATGAGTGGGGCTGGGAGACGGACCGAGAGGGAACGATTTGAGAGAGCGCACGCGCGTCGCCGACGTTTCATTGCAAGCGGTGCGGGCGCCCCCGCCCCGCCACTCGTCCATCGGTCAGGGTTCAGAAGCCTTTTCAAGGACAAGGCCACGGGCGGCCGGTGCGGACGGGCAGGGCACACGTAGAATGGCAACCGGGGCCCAGTAACCAACACAAGGCGCGCTTACACATCATACGCACACACACCACAAGCGCGCGCACCGGGGACCCAATACCGCCGCCGCAACACGCGCTCACTTTCATTCCCGGTCCGCCAGCGGTAGCAGCACGCCGCGTGCGTCCCGAGTATACACGGTGTCGTCGTGATAATAATATTTTGTAGTTTAACTCTGATATTATTTTTGTTGTGCGAATGTACGGTATTTTTTAAATTTTTTGAAAATAAAAAATTTTTTAACCGCACATCCACATCTCGAAATCCGTGTGTGCATTTATGTGGTAGCGTGCCGGCTCGTTAGTGCGTGATCGCGATGGTACTTAAAATTATTTTTTAAAATCCGTCGTCGTCGTCTATCTATTACAGGAGGTGTTATTATTTTTGTAGTCGAACGCATATTGTTTTTCATCTCCGTCTTTAATACTGTAAAAAATCAGACTATGCAATTGTCTCAAGTGGTCACAAGTTCGGGTGTGCTCATGCACGTGTATAGCAATCACCATCACGAGGGAGCCCGACAACAGGCTGCCAACACCGGTGATTTTCGCGTTCCTCAATCGCCCGGCGTCGTGTCTTCGTCGACCGGTGGATCTGGTTCACCTGCTGTATCCGTCATGCGTCCACCGGCCGCTCCGGGCCCACGGTGTCCCGTCACCGGCAAATCGCCGGTAGGACCACAGGTCGTAGCTCAAACGCCGACCACCGTGGCCACCAACTTGACGACCGTAGCTTCGGCTCCGGCCGCAGTCGTGAAATCGGAATACATTCGCGGACCACCGCCCTCAATGACTCTTGGCCACATCAACAATGGTGGTGGTATGCTGTCGTCCGAAGAACCCACGAGCTCAATACCGGACTTGGGTAAATATAAACAATTTCATACGTACACTGTTTTAGGCCATTTTAGAATTCTCACAGTGAGAGTTTATTTTGAGAAGTTTTTGGGAGTAGTTTTGAATTTTTTATTGTTATTATTCTTAGAGTGAAAGTGACCGTGGTCGCTTCATAGGTACAAACGCGGTGAAAGATCCGAAAGGGAAAAGGTATCGTTTTCGGTGAACAGGTGAAGGTTTTGCTTTCGTTTTTACATGTGCCTCTCAAACTCTCCCGTTAACAACATGTGAAATGTTAAAAAAATTAAAAAAAACAGATTTTTGCATTGAAAAACTGTAGACGCTTTTCAAATGTAATATTTTGGCAATCGCCTGTTAACCTAGACCTTGAACGCCCGCGCGCCCGACCTTGCCGGTTTCGCCAAATAATAATTATGTTTGCGTTAAAACGTCCGATAACGCGAATATATACTACGTGTGCATTAAAAAATTTAAATAAAATAAACCTAAGAATAAGCTTAACGTTAATAATTTTTCCTCGACCTATACCGGTCGGACACATGCACATCGTTTCAATAAATGTTTCGAGTGCTATTGCATTCGTCACGGCCGTGTTAAACTTGAACTTCGGTGGCGACTGCCGTTCCTGTTTTTTTATATTTATATACATTTTTTTTATCTATTCCGAGGTCGTCGGCGTTGTTTAGTTAGAATTACACAACATACGTCGGACTTATCACTGTAATGTGTACATATTACTTATTATTACATACCTATCGATCGATTTATAAATAATCATTTTTGATGTGGTATTGTAAGTTAACGCTTGCGGTCAATCGGTTATCGACCGTTGACCCTTTAAAAAACCAATAACATTTTTTTTATCAGAACAGTAATATATGTGCACAATGCAGTATATCAGTATTTGTATTATTTCGCAATAATAATAATAATAATAATATTTGGTGAAAAAGTGTTGCTGTCACGTCTAGACCGATCGGACGTTGTTAAAAAAAAAAAAATGAATAATAATGTTAAAAGAAAAAATGTGACCTTCTTAACAATAAGCATTTTGCGGGGGCACCGCGCCGCAACGTCGTGAGAAATCACCACTATTGTCAGCCTATTTATGTTTTTTATATTACATTACATTTTTTTTTCCGTTTAAAACTATATTATGTATGACATTTGTTTTTATTTTCGGTTCTGTTTGTTTTGCTGTTTCACCACAGTATTCACAGTTGCATTTCCTCTCACGTAAAATTATTTATTTTCCCATCGCTAACGCATTCGCGTTTTATCTACCAAAATTGTTCATTTATATAATGCGATTTGAAATGGTTAATTATCGAAAATCGACGAATTAATTTTGGCTCAATTATCGTGTAAAATTTAATCTATTTTAACAGCAGTAGCCGGTTGACCTTAATATCGACAGCGGATTGCGTAAGAAAACAAAACGTGAAACGTTATCTGCAACGACTTGGATACCAATGCATAACGACTATAATAGTGTTGTATACTAATAAAAAACGAATTCACACAATTAGCTCGGTGTATTTTATGACTAATAATATTTTATATGCATAGGCTGGTGAATAAATGTCGCAGCTTTATAATGAAACTCTTTAGTAAAACACAATGTTTTTTTTGAGTTGTATCGAGTGGTATTCCATACTATTACGCGTTTTCTTTACTGCCCTGACGAATTACAACCGTTTCTGTCTGGTTAACATGCATAAACATCTATGCGGTTTTTTTCGTTTATAACCTGACGTTGGTTGTTTTGCACGTATACTTCATGGAAACGATTGCGTTTTTTGTACTGAGGAAGTGCACGACGGCTAAGGTATAGCTGTTGGAGGGGTAGGCATGGCGGCGTAGGAAGGAAGTCCAACGATCTACGAAGGACAGTGAACCATCTACAGTCCGTATAATGCGATGCTTTCATAAGGTCAATGTTTTGCGGTATGCGTGCGCCGAACTTGAGTCCGCCGTCGCCTTCGTTCCCACCTAAAATACAAAATGCATCGCGCATTCACGCATATTATGCGGTGTACTCCTTTTCTATTTATATGATGTTCTCCAGTAGCCGGGTGTTACGTCACATTCGTGCAGACGCACCTAAAGGGCCACAAAACACTCACACCCCCGCGCAACTGCAGCCGTTTTTAGGGGTTCCAGTTTTTCAGGTGCTCAGCTCACTTTCGCCGGTTGCGTCGTCTCTTTACGCCGCCCGCGTAACATATATTGTACAATAATAATGTAACCCCAAGCCCAAACCATCTGCCTTTTGCGAGCCGCTAAAAACATCAGGTGCTAAATTATTTATGAAAAAGCCATGTGTATAATTCGATATTATGTAGAATAGTAGGTGGATATAACCCTTTTACGTTTCGGCCATGGCTTTATCCGTATCCGGTCAAATATGTGTTTGTTATTCGGTTACAATGTTCCTACATATGGAAAGCGTATTGAGTTTCACTTTTATTCGTCGGGGATGACAAGAAAAAACACACTTACTTTCCGCAGTCATAAAACTATCACCGAAGACGACGGGGGTCGACATTGAAATTTCTGGTACATATGCGGAGGATGAATAAGGTTAAAGAAAAAATGGTCAGCGACCTTCAATAAGGGTCGCGCTAGGCTGAGAAAGGGAAACGCGTCTGGGGAGATTTTTTTGGGTCCAAGGTTGCGTCGGTGCGTTACACATAATGCTATACTATTATGGCTTTGTTTTGGTTTTATTTTTTTTATTATTATTAACCTCTTAACCGGGCGAGCACCAAACAGGTAAGCGACGTAGTTTCACGGTCATCTCTCAGGCATTGTTGCCCGGACAGAAGGTCGACCTTCCCCTCTACCCCTCTCTGTGTTCTGTCGTGGCGACGATGACAACGACTACGGAAGGTGAACGCAATTATTCTCAATGTGTTCGTGTAAGCCGGTAGTACGATTTTTCCTAAAATTAAAAATGAAAACGGAGCAATACACGAGTTTACCTGCGTCAAACATATGCTCTGTCGGTGTTCGTCAATAGTAAAAGGGTAAAATCCGCGAACGAAGAGGTAGACGTCCTATTTTCAGACGTTATTATTTTCTCCATCCGGCAGCTGTTGTGCAATCCTTTTCCGTCGACCAGCCGTCTGCCTCTCTTTCATAATACTTATCTCTCCCACACAATCGCGTTGCACTATTCACCACGGGTCGTTGGGTACACAATTTTCGCATAGCATTCCTTTTGCTAACGTGTTTGTTACAATACCCAACACTGATCTCTCGTGCATTTATGCCGCCGACACTTTCTTCTCCCCTTTTTGTTTTTTTTCCAATGTGTGTACGCGAATCTGGATTCATATAGAAAGGGTCTCTACTAAAGTCGATAAACAGTCGCCGAGACGCTTTTCTATCCCTTTTACGCGTTACTACACACGCTGTGTATATGTCACAGAAAATCTATGTATGATATATTATATGCGTGTAATGGCCGGGTTGACTTTGAAAACCAGCGTTCACGGTCAAACCAATTGAACGCCGCCTCAGTCATTGGCAATTCATAGCGCGCCCGTGGTAAGGAGTGGGGGAGGTTTGGGGAGAGGTAGAGTCATTTAATGCTAGTGTAAAATGTATGTCGCGTTTAAGGCCCTGATGTTTTAATACATAAATATATACGTAAGTTATGTGTACGAACTGATATTAACCTTGGCGAGATAATCTTAACATTGAAACAAAATAATATTCATTATTTCGTCTCATCTTTTGTCTTCCAAATATGCTATTTAATGACTAGAATTTTATTTAAATGTTATTCTCAGTCACTTTTCTAATCCGATGAATCACTCGGGGAAAATCCAGAATTGAGGAAAATTTTTACATAGTATTTATACGCTAACATTGTTACTACTCATATGTTGTGAGCGATATTGATTTCGGCGGTCGACGATTTGCAGGAGGTAAGTGGATGTAGTGTTTGAAGGCGTGCTGAGAACCCTTAAGAAAATAAAGTTCTACGTCCGGGAAGGGGTCGTATGTTTTGCACACACACACACATATATATATTAGAAAGTAAGTGTGCGCGAGTGATAAAAATAGGGGTAGAAAAACAGAGAAGGTAGAAAAAGCAGGGAGGTAAAAAGCCTGGGACTTTGGCGGCGATGCAACCGGCTAAATATATATGGGCTCGGTGTCTGCATTGGCTTGTCTCATGCCCTCCGATCCACGGTCGATGTCGCAGACGACAACAATCGTCTGGTGTCCATGGCAACGCCCCAGCCGGCTACGACGATGCGTGCACCCCTCACGCAATACTCTCCCCCGCTAATTGTATTTATACGCCTTTGCGGTCATTCCTATACACATATAGCGCGGAATAGTCTCTTAGGTTTATTTTTAACTTTTATAACATTTACTCTATGAATATTTTTATCTGTATATATTTAACTCGTCAGTTATTATATGCATAAATACTGGATAGATAGAGTTTATTTATTGTTGTTTGAAAGTATGAATGTCAATCAGGTGATTAATAATATAAAATGTACACTTTTATATTAACTAATTTGTCATTAAGTATTATACGTATTGGTAACTTGCATAATTTAAGTATAGGTGTATATTTAAAGAAATTATTTTTTTAGGCGTTTACAAAGTTTAAACACATATGTTGTACCTTGGCTAAAAATATTAACTGTATAAATATATATATTGAATTTATGTCTCTGGGTAATACGAATGATTTCAAAGGTCTTTAGTTTTAGGATGCTTTAAAAGTCTATAGAAACACAAAAGCTCAGAGAGTACAAATACAACGCCGTTAAATATTAAAGAGACCGTAACAACGTGGGTTGAAGCGGCGAGGGTGCGTTTGTGAACAGAGAAGCCCTTGAACTCTCAAGGGCAACGCGCCGGCGGATTTGGCCGGTTGGGGTAGTCGCCCGGAGCCCCAGTCGCCGCATTACCGTTGCACGCACCACCCGGGAGCACGTACAGGATACTCGGAGGGGCAATCAGTACGCACTATGTAAT